CCTCTGCAGCGTGCCAGGCACACTTGGAGTCTGGGGCTTATTGACTGAAGAACTTGGGGTGGGGGGCTGCCACGGCCTGACCCTCAGTTTCCCATCTGTAAAATGGGAATAAGTGTTCCCAGTTCGTTATCATTATTCTCTGCTTGCCCGTTGAGGGAACCGGCTCTGCCCACGGTAAAATGAGGTTTCTAGGAAGAGTAGGGCCCCAGTTCCGACCCCTATGACAGCCCCAACCCTCGACACCACCACCAAGCGGTGGCTCCTCCCCAGCCTCGGTCCCCGCGCCTTCCATCTTTGTCCAGGTCCCATGGAAGTCCTGGTGCCCGGTGGGGGCTGCAGTGCCCGGCTGGCGAGGAGCTGTCCGCAGCTCGGTGCTGAACCGGGAACAGAGGCGGCCCTGCACGCCCAGGAGCGGTGGGCCAGGGTGGCGGTAACCCTTTATAGGAGCGGCCCTGGGGAGCGCGCGTCCAGCCTGCCAGGGATGCGCGGAGGAGAGTTTGGCCCTCGCAGGACAATGAAGGGGAAACAGGCAGACCCTTCGCAGGGGGACCCTGCCCATCCTCTCCACCCCCACCCCACAACCTTGGGGGCGTCTTGGCTCCACGATCATTGTCACCATCATGCCGGATTCTGAGATTCCTTTTCAAAAAATCATTAGGAAGCTAAGAATAATTACTAAGAAGCGGGATTGTAATTATGGGACGGGGCAGCCCGGGCCAAGGCAGGGGAGCCGAGCTGGCAGGAACTGGAGGTGACACTCCGGCTGGGACGGAAAATAGGTTCCTGTTGCCCTCCCCGGAAGGAGTGGGTACAGAGAGCCACAGAGTTGACCCCGGACCGAGGCCACGACTGGAAAAGACGGACGCATGGAGGGCCAGGGCGGAGACGGGAAGAGGGGCTGGGCAGGGTTCAGAGTGAAAGGCTGGGCGCGGAGGGGGAACTGAGGGAGGTGAACGGAAGAACGGAACTAGAAGAGGCCACAGAGCCCTGCAACTTAGGAGGGGCTCTCAGGGTGTCAGGAGACTCTCGAGGGTGGGGGTGGCCGCACCCCTCCCCGGATGCTAAGGCTGCTAGGGCGATCTGTTCGCTCCTCAGACCTTTCCTGGGGTCCCCGCGAGCGAGCGGAGAAGGGGAGACAACCCCAGGGGAGCTGGAACACAGGAGGGGCGAGGGGGTCCATATCCCGGAGCGAGAAGGAAACGAGGGGGCGGGGGAGGAGCGACCTCGGCCGCCACCCGAGGAAGATTTATGGCGCCGCGAGCCGGGTTCCAAGGACAGGCTGCGCTCGCCTCGCCGCTGCTACCACCGTCGGTCGCTGCCGCCGTGGCCTCTGCGCTCCCTGCCCGGGCGGCCCGCCGCGCCCCGGGCCATCCCTGCCATTATTAACTTCTGTTTGATTAGGGTAATTGTTCAAACTTGGGCTGGACAGTATGATTAATTACAGCTTAATTAACGTGTCCATTAAGGACACTTAATGCCACGGGGTCTAGGAAGGGGGGTGAAAGCGACGAGGGGGCGCCCGAACGCGGGCGGGGTGGGGGGTGGTGCGACTTCGAACTCAGATGAAGTAGAGATTGAGATTTGAAGAAAAAAAGAAGCTGCGGACCCAAAGAGGGGATTGAGGGGAAGACGGAAAGCAGGAGCGGGGTGGAGAGAAATGGAGCTTTGGGGAGACAGAAGGCGCGGACGGCGGGGGGCTGGTCCCCACCCCCACCGCCGGAAATCCGAGTTAGCAACGTTAACTCAGTAGTTGACCCCAGGTCTCGCCCAGGGCACCCAGGTCCTGCCTGGGCCTGTTGATGATGAGGGGGTACATTCCAGGCTGGAGTGTGGCGGGGGTGGCAGTCTAGTTCCCGGTCCGGCCCAGAGGAGGGAGAGCAGAGTGGCGCTCCCCAGCCTAGAGCTCTCCGGGGAGCCGTGGGGAAGGCGGATCTGCCCCTTCCGGCTGCTTTCTGCCCGGCCCGGTACTCTAGTCCTTGTCCCCAGAGCTGGTGACCCTATCGGCTCCCTAGGCCACTCTGGGTTCCACTGCCCGGAAGGCAGAAAGCGAAGTACCTCTCCCAGCTCCCCTTTCTCCTGCGCTCCCCTCAGCTCCGTCACCTGGCTCTAGCCCCGCTCGATCCTGGCCCCTCGGAGGGCTCTGGGCCCTCCCCACTTTGTTCTTGGGGGCAAACTTTGCGGCCCCGGGCCCCTCCTCCCACTTGGCCTCTCCCGCTAGCGCGGGTCGCAGGTGCGGGACGCGGGCCGCAGGTGTGCGGCCGCTTACCTGGGGCGCGCAGGCCCTGGGGCTGCGGAGAGGCGGTGGGCGCGGCGCGAGTGGCCCGCGGGCGGGTGGACCCGGGAGGGCGTGAGGGGGCTGCACGGGTGGTGGGTGTGACGCCGGCTCGCAGCTGTCAGGCGCGCCCGCCCCGCGCCGGCCTGGCCACTCGGACTGCGTCTGCCGCCGCGCCATGCGCTCTGGGCTTCGGCCTCTTCTTCGGGCCAGTCCCCGGCCTCGGGGGCAGCGGCTCGGGGCACACGTCTCCGCTCCCGGGTCCCTGGCGCTTGGCTCCTGCTGAGAGCGGGAGGGGCCGCGGGTGGGGGCGCGGGGAGCCCGGGAGCGCGGCTGTGCGCGCGCGCGGGGAGGGGCCGCGCCGTCACCCGGAGAGCCTGGCGGATCCCGGACTCCCGCCCGCCGCTCCGCCCGCCGCGCACCTCCGCTTGCCCGCTCGCCCGGCTCCAGCCGCCGCCGCACGGTGAGTACCTGCGACCCGCAGCCCCTCGTCCCCGCGCCCTGCCGCTCAGCTTTTCTTTTTCGGTTAGTTCCGAGGTGGGCTCTTGTGGCTGTTGTTTTTATGATGCCTAACGACTCCACCGCCGGACTCTCACCGCTGCCCGCCTCCCGCCTGCTCACCCCCCGCAAGGTCTCCCTGAAGTCCCGGGAGCCGGCGAGGGTTCCCCAGCTGCCCTGGCCGTTGCTTCTCTTCACTGAGCACCGCCCCTCGCCGGTGCTTTCCGCTTTGGTCCCTCAAAATGCTATTCCTTTCCTAGGGCCCCTTTCTGCTGGCTCCGGGGCCCAGAGTCCCCTTATTTTACTCGGGAAAACCCCACGGGGACCCCGGACCCTCAACGCTGGTTTCGGGCGCTCTCTTCACTGGATGCGGGCCTGGACGCACTTGCGGGTTTCAGGAAACGGAGAAGCCATAGTCATTTCCCAGGGCCGCGCGCCCCAGCCACCTACACAGCCTGCCTGAGAGCCCTCCCTGGGGGCGCAGGGCTTGTCTCGTTGACCCATCAGCCAGGGAATTAGGACCGTGGTTTTGCCTGCTAAAATGTTAGCAGGGACTTCAAGGCCAAGGGAGGGTCAACTTGTTTCAGTTTTATTCGAAGAGATAAAGATAAAACAGATAATAGATAAACAGCTTGATACTTGAAGAAGATACGAGACAGATGGGAGAAACACAAGCGAACTGGCAGAAGACAGCTCAGGGACAGGTAAGATCGACAAATGAAGAGCACCTAAATGAAGAGCGAAGGAGAGAGGGGCAGACAGAAGATTTCAGTCTCTTCACCAAGGCTTTTGAACTTGGACTCTCTGCGTGGTTGAAGTTGCCCCTCTGAAATGGATTTGCCTTTCTGGCCGAATTTAGGGGAGGGCCCGTCCAGGTTGGGCTGCCCGGGCTGTAGGAGCACCTGCACCCCCGGGGCCAGATTGGAGCCTTGTGTGTCTGGGGACACGTGGCTGGGCCGCGCATCCTAAGAGACCCTGAATATCAGTTCCCAGGTCCCGCTCCATGCAGCTGCTGCGGTCTGCAGGCACGGCTGTTTGGGCCCGAGGGCATAGTGCAGGACTGCAGCAACTTCTGTGCCTGGAGCTTTGCCGTGACTCTGAAGACCCGCCAGGACTGGTTCCTTCTAGCCCAGAAGAGTCGGGACAGAGAGGCATGAAGGGCACTCAGAGAAGAAACTCCCACAAAAGAAGAAGCCCACAGCCCTCCAAGACTGCGTTTGGCCTGATAGGAAAGGCATATTGTGAAGGGGACAGCCCAGAGAGTGGGCGATCAGAAGCGAAGGAGAAGTAGTTGCTGAGAAACTTCTATGAGAACCTGTCCCATGCGCTACCCCAAATGAAAACCAGCTTTGGTTTGGAACGCAGTTAAAAATGCAGAAAATGTGGTTAGATACTGCTCAATCCTTGTCCCACTGATGGCTGGAAAGAAAACGGCTTCTATATCCAGCCGGGATCTTTCTGCTCAACGAACGCGGGGCGCCAGGTGTGAATAGAGAAGCTCAGGCTGGTGGGAGCCCACACTCTGGGCCCCGGAAGCCGGTCGGCACGGAGCTGGACGGAGCGGGGACCGCCCTGGGTCTGGGAGCTCGTGGCGAGCTTTGGAGAGGGTAGGGTTCAGCACCGCGAACAGCGGTCGCCTCCGCCTCTCCCCTCCCAGGCAGCCCCGGTCCCCTCCTTCTCCCTGCCCCATCCTCGGCCCCCGAAGTCTGAAGGTGGGCAGTGACTGCGCCTCCCTCACCTCCCCGTCGCTGCCCCCGCCCGCCCCCGTACGTGTGCTACTGAGCAGAGGGGCCGCCGGTCGCCGAAGTCTGGGCTTCAGGACCCGGCAGGGCAGGCTGCGAAGGCGCGTGGATCTGGGCTCCAGAAAGCCTGGGTCTGGAAATGGCATTGCTGTGTGGCCTTGGGCAAGTCACCTTCCATCTCTGGGTCCCACTTCCTTCCCAATCCAAAAATGGGATTGGGTTCCTTGCAGCTGGGGCATTCCTGAGGTCGCCACCACCCCTTGGCCTAACTCAGACCCCGAGGGCTTTTGTTCCAGCTCTCACACGGTTATGAATAACAAAAGACGCCCATTCCGGGGACCAAAGAGCTTGGACTCCCCACTGCCAAGTGTCCCCCCCACCCACCGCGCGCCTAACTCCGCACGCCCCACTGGGCGGCCGGGCGTAGGTAGCTGTGCTGGAAATGGCTCATCTGCTCTCTGCTCTCTCTGTTTCGCAGGAGCGGCGGCATGGAGGCTCTCACCACTCAGCTGGGGCCGGGGCGCGAGGGCAGCTCGTCGCCCAACTCCAAACAAGAGCTGCAGCCCTACTCGGGGTCCAGCGCCCTCAAACCCAACCAGGTGGGCGAGACGTCGCTGTACGGGGTCCCCATCGTGTCGCTGGTTATCGACGGCCAGGAGCGCCTGTGCCTGGCACAGATCTCCAACACTCTCCTCAAGAACTACAGCTACAATGAGATCCACAACCGCCGCGTGGCCCTAGGCATCACGTGCGTGCAGTGCACGCCGGTGCAGCTGGAGATCCTGCGCCGGGCCGGGGCCATGCCCATATCGTCTCGCCGCTGCGGCATGATCACGAAGCGCGAGGCCGAACGCTTGTGCAAATCTTTCTTGGGCGAGCACAAGCCACCCAAGCTGCCCGAGAACTTCGCCTTTGATGTAGTGCACGAGTGCGCGTGGGGCTCGCGCGGCAGCTTCATCCCTGCGCGGTACAACAGCTCCCGGGCCAAGTGCATCAAGTGCGGGTACTGCAGCATGTACTTCTCGCCCAACAAGTTCATCTTCCACTCGCACCGCACCCCCGACGCCAAGTACACCCAGCCCGACGCCGCCAACTTCAACTCGTGGCGCCGTCACCTCAAGCTCAGTGACAAGTCGGCCACGGACGAACTGAGCCACGCTTGGGAGGACGTCAAGGCCATGTTTAATGGTGGCACGCGCAAGCGGACCTTCTCGCTGCAAGGAGGCGGCGGAGGTGCTAACGGCGGGTCGGGCGGGCAGGGGAAGGGTAACACGGGGGGCGGCGGTGGCCCGGGCTGCGGCGCCGAGATGGCCCCAGGCCCACCGCCCCACAAAAGCCTGCGTTGTGCAGAAGACGAGGCTGCCGGGCCTCCGGGTCCGCCTCCTCCCCACCCGCAGCGTGGACTGGGGCTGGCGGCTGGAGCCAGCGGCCCAGCCGTCCCCGGAGGGCCTGGGGGCGGTGCGGGCGTGCGCAGCTACCCGGTGATCCCCGTGCCCAGCAAAGGCTTCGGCCTCCTGCAAAAGCTGCCCCCGCCGCTCTTCCCGCACCCTTACGGCTTCCCCACGGCCTTCGGCCTATGCCCCAAAAAGGACGACCCAGTGTTGGGCGCTGGTGAGCCCAAGGGCGGCCCTGGCACTGGCGGCGGCGGCGCAGGCACCGGCGCGGGTGGCCCTGGAGCTGGCCATTTGCCCCCAGGAGCAGGGGCGGGCCCGGGCGGCGGGGCCATGTTCTGGGGCCATCAACCCGCCGGGGCTACCAAGGACGCAGCGGCGGTGGCCGCAGCGGCGGCGGCTGCCACTGTGTACCCGACGTTCCCCATGTTCTGGCCAGCTGCGGGCAGCCTCCCGGTTCCACCCTACCCGGCCGCACAGAGCCAGGCTAAGGCCGTGGCGGCCGCAGTGGCGGCGGCGGCGGCCGCGGCGGCCGCGGCTGCTGGCGGTGGCGGCCCGGAGGCCCTGGATGGCACGGAACCAACCAAGGAGGGCGGCCTCGGCGCGGAGGAGCGCTGCCCGAGCACGCTGTCTCGAGGGCCGTTGGACGACGACGGCGGGGACGAGGGGCTGCCGCCGCCCTTGGCCCCCCTGCAGCCCCCGCTGCCTCCGCCCGCCCGCAAAGGCTCCTACGTGTCGGCCTTCAGACCAGTGGTCAAGGACGCCGAGAGCATTGCCAAGCTCTATGGCAGCGCCCGCGAGGCCTACGGCGCGGGGCCTGCTCCTGCTCGTGCGCCCGGGCCCGGCACGGGAACTGGCGGCGGCTACGTGAGCCCGGACTTTCTGAGCGAGGGCAGCTCCAGCTACCATTCCGCCTCGCCCGATGTGGACACCGCGGACGAACCCGAGGTAGACGTGGAGTCCAACCGCTTCCCCGACGAGGAGGGCGTCCAGGACGAGGCCGAGTCCAGGGCGCCTAGCGCGCCCAGCGCGGGAGGTGGCCCAGACGGCGATCAGTCCGCTGGACCCCCGTCTGCCACCTCCTCAGGCGTGGATGGTCCCACAGACTCTCCCGATGACAGCCCCGCTCCCCGGCGTCGCCTCGGGCCACCCCCAGGTCGGTCGGTGTTCGGGGACTTGGCGGCCGATGACGCGGTGCGAAGACCCGAGAGGAGTCCGCCGAACGGCGGCTACGAGTTACGAGAGCCTTGCGGGCCCCTGGGAGGCCCAGCGACGGCCAAGGTGAGCCCTGCGCCCACCCCGCGGGGGGCGCCTCCTCGCGGACCCCTCCGCACAGTTTGAGAGCAGGGCGGGCCCAGCCCGGGTGGAGATGGGGATTTTGTTCCGCGCAGGCGTTGGAGCAGTTGCCTGGCTGCTCTCCGCAGGCCCAGTCGCGGAGCCCAGCAGTTGGGCTCGCTGGGTCTCCGGAACTGTGGGTTCCGGAAGATCCAGGCGCGGTGGGTGGGGGAGGGGCGCGGGCCCGAGGACCTGTGTGCTTTGTTTTTGTTGATGGAGAGATCGGCAGAAACCGCCAGACTTCCAGAAAGAGCTAGTAAAGGGGTCTGGAGAAAGAAAGGGACCCAGGAGCGGAGAAAGGCGCTCTCCAGGCCCAGCCCGGAGCGCGCCTGTCCAGACTGGGTCAGAAGCCCAAGGAAGACAAGTGAGCGGGCAGGGAGAAGAGGAGACAGCCTCTCCCAAGTTGCTCAGCAACACCGGGTCCCCTGAGTGACCCTCCCGCCCGATCCCAACTCGCAGCTTCAGAGTCCGGCCTCGGGAACCGCAGGGCTGGTGCTGAGAAGCTGTGTGTGCGGGTTGTGGCTAGGCCGGGCTCCTTGACCATTTTGAAAGTAGCTGCGCACACGTGTACTTTTCCATTCGGGTCATTAAAACGCGTATCATTAACCGGATGCGAAAGGCGTCATTTATGCCGGGGACCGGGCGCCGGCGCGGGCGGGAAGGAAAATGCCGAGCAGGGGAAGAGCGCAGAATGGGGGCAGCTCTGAACGGCCGGGGGAGCCGCTTTGTGTTTGGAGTAATTTGCTCGCGGGCGCCAATAATTATCCTGAATCTACAACGGTGGCGTGGACTCGGAGGACGCCGGGGTGGGCCGCGTGCGTCACCGCTGTCCGGGGTGTCCGGGTCCCGCGCGCGAGCCAACCTCCGCATCCCCTCGGCGCTTCCTGTTGGCCGCGGGCGGGGCGGGGCGGTGAGGGCAGCCACCAATCGCCCTCTAATCGCCTGTCGTTTCTCGGCCGCCGCAGGTGTACGCGCCCGAGAGGGACGAGCACGTGAAGAGCGCGGCGGCGGCGGTGGCGTTGGGGCCCGCGGCCTCCTATCTCTGCACCCGTGAGGCCCACGGTAACCCCGCCGAGGCCGCTGGCCACTGTCCCGGGGACACGGCAGGCAGAGGGCCGGGGCCAGGCCAGGCCTGCTGGGGGAGACGAGCGCAGAAAGAAGCGAGAGAAAGGGAGCGGGAAAGAAAATAATGACAGAAAAAGGCAGCTAAGCGGAAAAGTCCCAATAGCTCCCATGGTTTGGTTACCTGAAAGCAGTCCCCAGCTGTCCCTCCATAGCACACAGACACCTCTCCACGACACACACAGGGTTAAACCTTTTAAAAACCACTTCGGGCAGCGCCTTCCAGTCCTCTCATTTATTCAGCAAGTGTGTTTGGCCTGGGGCCCCCCGTGGCCTGGCTGGCTGTGACCGGACGACAAGGGCGTCTGGGTGCGGGCTAGGGTACCCCAGAAGCGCCGGTGCAACTCCGGGGACTAGGGTGGGGGGCTCCCGGGACCCCGTCGCTAGCAGAGGAGGGGCCCGGACCTCGGAAATCTGGGCTGGCAGAGGCACCCCTGCCCGGGACAATGCCCCACCACCACCACCCAGAAGGTCGCCGCCTGGGCTGCGGTCTCCGCCGGAGTATCGCGGGCAGATCCGGGCGCCAGGCACGCTCGCTGTGCCCCGGTAGTTGCGCGCGATGTAGGTCGCTTGTCCCTGGTGGCCTCTGCTGCTCGTCTTACTCTTTCCGAGGGGCTGAGGAGGGGGCGTGGAGCAGGGAGAAAGAGCAGACCAGACCCTGTCACGCGAGGGGGAGGGGTGCCCGGGCCAAAGCCTCGGGGCGCGCGCCTGGGCGCACAGCCGGAAACCAGCGGCGGCCACGATGTTTTTAATTAGGGCTAGGGCGCTCCAACCGCGGCAGCTCTGGCTGTATCGGGGTCACAGTTTCTTTGCCTCTCCTTGAAACTCGGTTTATTCCCTTTAAAGAGCCAGATAAGGAAGACAATCACTCGACCGCCGACGATTTGGAAACGAGGAAATCCTACTCAGACCAAAGGAGCATCTCCCAGCCCAGTCCCGCAAACACAGACCGAGGTGAGCCCTGGGATTCCTCCTGCCCCTCCCGTAGCTGGGAGCTGGGACCCAGGTCGCCCAGGTTTCAATGGGCTTCGAGGCAAGACATTCATTTATGATCCAGCCGCTGCCAGTTCTTTCCTTCCTCTGCGAGCAGATAACTATTAAATATTAAGGGGAGTGGGGTTCAGGCTGTGTTTCGGGGGACAGCTGAATTGTAGGTGGCTTGGGGCTCTTCCTGGCAGATGAAAAGGAAATGGAGGGCCAGCCTCGCCTACCGAAAACAGGTCAAGGCCACTTCCTTCCCAAGGACAACCCATCTTCCCTGGACCCAAACATAGCATGGATGGTGGGTAGTGTGGATGCCTGTGATTGTCTTCTCTCAGGCAGAGGGTCTGGATTAGGTCCCTGATTTGGCACAGTTCCCAGGATGCTCGCCCTTCCCCTCTCAAGGCCTCTCCCAGTGCAGCACCCCTCTCACCTGCCCTTGTATCCCAGGGGAAGAGGGGCTCACCTTGGATGTCACAGGAACTCAGCTGGTGGAGAAGGATATTGAAAACCTGGCCAGAGGTGAGGTTAAATCTGCAAAATGGGGGTAGGCTGTGCTTGAGGGAGATGGACCCTGCCTGTAGAGGGGGTATAATTCCCACCTAGGTTTGTGGGAAGGTCATGGCTACTGGGCGGAAGGGTCAGTTTTTATTTCCCTGGGTAGGAAAAATAATCCTCTGGACACATCCTGGCACAAAGGTGTAAGTATGGTTAGGGGATGGGGAGAGTGACCCATGTCCCTGGAGGTTTATTGGAAGTTTGAGTTTCAAGACCTGAGTCTGTCCTGGATAGGCTAGTAAGAGAGTAATGATTCTCAGAACTCCGATGCTGTGGCCAATCAGGTAGGACAATTGGGAGTTCCCCCAACTCTGTGGAAAACAGAACTATTTCTGAAGAGCAAGATTGCAAGGAGACGTTTATGTTAGGACCATGGGAGAAGTTACAGCGTGCCCCCCTCCATTGATGTATGACTACAGTGAGGGTGGAGCTTGTTTGCAGAATGGGATACTCAGGGTTGCTGTTAAGCCTGCAAGGGGGAGAATGTGGCTTGAAGCATAGAGAAAGGGGGAGTTTTGGACCCCACTTTGCCCCTCTATCTTTCATTCCTTCCATGGGGAGGCTCCAGACACTAACAGCCACATGGTTGGGGCAGCTTCTCTAGGACTGGAATCCCTCTAGAACTGGAGCCCACACACCCAGCCTGTGGATAGTTTTCGAATTGGTGGGAGAAGGGAGACAAGCATCAGTGGTCTTTCACGTTTCTTGGTTACAGATTTTAGGATGTGCCGTTACTTTCAAAATCTGTTTGTTTGATGATACTGGGGATTGAACCTAGGGCCTCATGCATGCTAGGCAAGCACTCTTTCACTGAGCTACACTCCTAGCCCTCACTTATGTTTTCTATGAGGGTTCTTAGCATGCATTGGGGGGTCTGGGGATCTCCTGGAATTGTGGGCAATTGTTAAGTATGTGTATTTCTCTGGGAAAGTTGTTCAAATCATTGACCAGATTCTCCCTGATTTGTATCCAAAGGAGGGATTAGGATTGTCACTTGAAGGGGGAAGCCACATTTTTGTGGGTCTTCCATCCTCTAAAGTTAGGGAATTAGGAACAGTTCAACAGATGCCAAACTGGTTATTTCCCTGGAACCAGGGCCCCAAAATCCAAAATAGGTTCCGCCCTCCTGTATTTGATTCTCCTGGGTCTCCTACCCCTAGCCCCCTGTCCTTCCTCAAATCCTTTGAATGAAAATGGAAAGCCAGAGTGTTGAAAGCCACTACCCCAACTTGGGTCCCTGGACCTCAGTCCTTAGTGGGTCCCTAGAATTCCCCATCCCCCCCATCCTGACCTCTCACCCTCTCCCCTTCACAGAGGAATTGCAAAAACTGCTCCTGGAGCAAATGGAGCTCCGCAAGAAGCTGGAGCGAGAATTTCAGAGTCTCAAAGGTACTCCCACCCTTCTTCACCCCGCCTCAACATTGTTGCCCAGACTCGTTCTGGGAGCTGGGTGCAGGCACCTGCCCCTGTGGGCCCCGTCAGATGTCAGATCGGAACTCCCGTTTCCTGGGTTTCCAGCTGAGCGAGTGACTGGGTGGGGTGGGGTGGGTGTAGGGGTGGGTGTAAGGTTGAGGATGGGAAGGAGGAGGAAGAGAAGCTGGGGAAGGAGGCTGTGCTTAACAGCTCTCACTTAATCAATTTGCACAGATAATTTTCAGGATCAAATGAAGAGGGAATTGGCTTATCGAGAAGAAATGGTGCAACAGCTGCAGATTGTCAGAGGTAAGACTGGAGTCAGGTGAGCGCATGCACGGGCCATAACTGCCTCTCGTCTGGCAGGAGCCGCAATGTTGGCTCAGTCATTTGGATTTAAATTGAAGGTAATTCAACAATTATTTTTTTATTTAATATCCTTTGTATACTCTGATTAGCCTCAGAATGGCAAGCGAGCCCAGCAAACGGCTTGCAGGCATCATTACATGGAGTGATTGAACTTCTTATCGCGGCAATTTCCATGGTTTCTAAATTAAAAATCGAGGCGTAAAATTACCTGGGAAGTAATGCCTAAGTTTGCTTTAATTTTGGTTAGATCCGTCTGCCTTTAAGCGCCATCCCAGGCCATTTCCTCCCTCCACCAGTCTGCAGTTTGGGGCCCTGGTACGCGCCCCCCCCCCCATTCTCCAGTGGTTTCCAGGAAGTAATGCCTAAGTTTGCTTTAATTTTGGTTAGATCCGTCTGCCTTTAAGCGCCATCCCAGGCCATTTCCTCCCTCCACCAGTCTGCAGTTTGGGGCCCTGGTACGCGCCCCCCCCCCATTCTCCCAGTGGTTTCCAGGAGGGGATGGGGGTGGCCGGGGCTGTGACCCTGCTGGCCGCCCTGAAGGCCACCTCGCTTTCCTCACCCGCCCCTCTCCTTGTCTTCCAGACACCCTGTGTAACGAACTCGACCAGGAGCGGAAGGCGCGCTATGCCATCCAGCAGAAATTAAAAGGTGCGGACCGAGAAACAAAGCTGGGGTGCCAGGGCCCGGCTGGGCCCCTAAATGAGTGAATGGATGGGGGGGGGTGAGCAGCGGGGCTTGTGAGAGAGAAGGCGGGGGGGGGGGGGTACTTGGACCAGAAACTGAAAAGCGGGAAGTGGGGATTGACTGTAATGGGGAGCTTATTCTAGAAGATGGGGTAGGAAGGCACAGCCTTTTGATCTCCGGGCATCCAAAAAATCTGCCTTCTGAGCCATCTGACCTTGGGCAGGTCAGTCCCTCTTTTTCTGAGCCTCAGTTTCCTCTTGTGCAAGACGGGGCTATTGAACCAGAGCGGCGGCTCTCAGTCACCATGTCTCTCTCCTGCCTCCTTTCTGGCCCGCGGGGTTGAGAACCCCTGAGCCCAAAGGGTTGCTGAGGCGAGGAGGGGGACTGATGGGCTGCGCGGGGCAGGCGAGGCCGCCAACGTGGCCGGTGCGACTCTCTCTCCAGAAGCCCACGACGCTCTGCACCACTTCTCCTGCAAGATGCTGACGCCCCGCCACTGCACCGGCAACTGCTCCTTCAAGCCCCCGCTGTTGCCCTAGGGCCGGTCTGGCCGCGCCCACGCGCCCTCAAGCCATGCTGCTCCTTCTCGTAAATGCCCGCGGCGGTGCCCGGCGGCCGGAGCGAGGAACAAGCCATTCGGACTCGACCGATGTAAATACAGCCCGGCCGCCGCGCGCTTCCGGGGCTCCCCGGCCTTGCTGCCCCCTGCGGGGCGTTGCAGTCCAAGGCCTGGCTCGTTTCCAAGTGTAAATACCACGTTGTCCCCCCGACCCCCGGTTAAACTCCAGGGCCTTGGAACTCAAAGGGTTAACTGGACCCATGGCGGGGGCGGGGGCGGGGGACTGAGAGGACAGCACCCACCCCTGCGCGTGCGCAGCCTGGGCCCCCATTGTGAATACAATGTAGCAACTTCGCTGGCGGCGGCTGCTCCCTCCCCGTCCACTTCTGAAACTCTTGTTCCTAAGGACAAAGTGGCTATGTGCAATGGATGTAAATGTACTCAGTCTCTTGGTTCAGTGTTAAGTTCACGTTCATTTATTTGAGTCTAAGTTATTTTTCTTTCTTCTCCTGGACCCACTTCCCCTCCCGTTTTGTATTACCTTTTGAGGGGCTTTTTGCTTTGTCTATTTTTGTTGTTGTTGTAACCTCTTGATTGTAACAGCACTTTAAAAGGGCGACAACTGACTCACGAGATGGCGACCACCTTGAGCCTGTTTGGAGGAGATCACCCTATATCCGTGACTTTTGTTTTTAATAAAAGAAAAATCTGTCACTTTCTGGGGTTTCGGAGGTGGGAGTGTGGGCGAAGGGCCATGCCACAGGTGGGGTGGGTACCACCTCCTGTCGCCTGGGTTACAGCTGTGCTTGCTCAGTAGACAGCAGTCAGCACCCAGCCTCTACTGACCCACCTAGGCGAACCAGCTTTCCCGGGGGCACCCCCTGTCCACACCAGGAGGCTCCCTGGGCCCCACTTAGGGAAAAGGGGACGACTGATTGCCTGGTCCCCTGTACAACTGTCCCTTCCCTCAAGCTCTTGTAGGGGCACAGAGTCCATTCATGTGGTGCCCACGCCTGCCAGGGGGAAGTTACCTCCCGGGTACCTAGAGACAGGGCACTCTCAAGCCTGCCCGGAACCCTGGGTTCCACCCCCGCCAGCTGGCACAGGCACTGCTGGCCTGGCCGAGGAGCTGAGGAGCGCTGGGAGGAAGCATGAAGGGCAGCCCTGGGTCCACAGGCCTGGGAAGGAAGGAGGGACTTGAAGCTGGCCCCTGCCGCCCAGCTGCTGAGGAAAGGAGGGAGCCCAGGCCGAAACTTAATGCTCCCAGAATTCCCAATTCTAAGTAGACTTGAGGACGTTGAGGAACTCAGAGCGGAAAGTGAAGTGCCCAGGGGCTGCAGCGCTGGCTACACCTCCGCTAAGGCATCCTGCCTGGGTCGTGGTTGGTGTGGCCTCTGCTTGTTGCAGGCCTCCCGTAGGCCTGTTTCCTATGCACCTGCCCATCGGGCCACAGATAACAGATGTAAATTGCAGAACACTTTAATTTTCTTTTTCTTCGTTGGGCTCAAAGGATGGATGGAGGAGGAAAGCACAAGGTATTGGGCTGAATTTTACCTCCTCATCTGGCTAATCGGGCGTCCCAGTGCGCCTTTTATTTTATTTTCTGTGGGCTTCAGTTTCAGCCTGTATAAAATGACTTTCGAGCCTTTGTCCACAGAGAGTTCTGGAAGTGCCCTGAGAGGTAAACTGAGCCCAGGCCGCTGCAAGACCAGTGCTCGCTCGGAGGGCTCTGCTCTGAGACATCCCAAACTCGCTCAGAGCATCCCTCAGGCAGGGAGCCTGGAGGCGGGCGCGGGCCCCGCGTCTCCCCAGGAGGAACCCTGGGTGCAGGGCGGGCCGGGCTGCGTGCCCGGGATGTCGGGCCCTGGCCGAGCGGGCAGGCAGGGGGCTGGCGGATGGGGGCGTGCTCTGGTCCTCTGGGAAGGGGGAGGGCCCCGCAGCCCCGCCGCACGCGTTGGCAGCCAGTCCCCGATCTCCCTGCGCCTGGGCTGTGGGACCTCAAGTTCCAAGGTATTTCGAGGGCTGAATCCAGCGAGGACTCGAGGAAATATTGAGGTGAAGGCACTGGGCACACTCAGGCGCCGCCTCTAGGTCTGCCAGCCAGGACTCTGCGGGCTGGACCCACCGGATCAGTTCTCCGTACCCCAAAAGTGACATCCGAAGAGAAAGTGACTTGAGTTTCCAGGGCACACCAGACGCGAGCGAAGCTGGGACGCGGGGTCGGAGGGTGCACCTCGTTTCTTTACCCCACGGCATAAATGCACCCCTTGAAACCCCACCTTCAGTTCTGCAAAATGGACACAGCAGGGACCGCTCAGGCAGGAAGTTCCTTCCGTGGCCGAGGCCCAACAGAGGACCCTACCAAGTACTCCTTTCCACTCGGCCTCCCAAATTCCCTGAGTGGAGAAAACCACCAGGCAGCTGGGGCCCTCCAGAAGGGGCGCCCCATCTGGGCCAGAACCTCTGCGGATTCGGGGTGTAGGCGGATCTGACCCACAAAGTAGAGTCGGAAAAAAACCCTCTTGGGCTCCACCTCCTTTTCGAAGTGTTTGTGTCCCCCCCCCCTCATGTTAATAACCAAACGATTGGTATGGATGTAATTATCAATAATTATACGAATTATTGCTGATTGCGGGGCTCGTAGCTACTTTAATTAGTTTACCAGATTCTAATTAAGTTAAATGGAACATTAATAGGGAAAATATGCTTTAGAAAAACACCCAGGATTTTAAGTCTGTTTCTCGCCACAACGTTGCCACCTTGCGATGGATTTGGGGCATTACAGCTAACGCCGGAAGGCTCTCAGGGAGAAGGGCTCAGATCGTCCTCGGCCATTCTTTCCCGGCACCCTAGGCTCTGGTGGTGTCTACCTGAGATCTGGCTCTGGAGTCCAAGGTGTGTCATAAGGGACCAGTTAAACGAGTCCTTTCCACCTCCCACCATCTTTTCTCCGGAACTCCAGGGTCCTTTTGGAATGGCCATGTGTCAGGGAATCCCTATCCCCACCTGTCTGGCAAATCCAGGGCTAGAGACTGAGCAAGTTGGGGATGCACTTTGTGGACAACATCATGTTGCTTTATTTTTTACTCCCCTGTGAGAAACCCGTAAGTGGCTTCCAATCTGCTTTTCCTCTGGCAATGTGGGTCACCTGTCCCCAAAAGCACCTAGAAGACTCTCCCAACTCAGGGCACACAGGGAGCTCCTGTGTTCTAAAGACACTTGGTTCCGGAGACTAGCTTGGGTGTGTGGGTCTGACTCCCAAGGGACTGTGTCTTGACAACTAGAGGTCACTCCTTGCCCTTCCTTGTGATATCTGACACAAACCCCTCACGGGCACACAACCGTCTTGACCAGTTCATGTAAGTGCTGGAAATGGCTGCGGGAAGAAATCCCCAGGTGCTTCTGGACAACCACCACAGAGAATTAATTAAGCTCATTTGCCTAAGGTTAATTAAGCACAAGCTTACTGCTCAGAAAGAGGATCCCTCAGCTATAGGATTAGTTTGGGAGGCCGGTGTCAGGTAAGTTATTGTCAACCTAGAGTAGGAAAACTTTCTTCCTGTTCCAGCCCTGTCCCTAAGAGGTGGCTCCCTCACATTTTGCAAGATCACTGGCCACATACCTGTCCACTCAGTCCCTCTTAGCCTGCTGCAAAGTGTAGCCTTGATTCTTTGCAGAAACACAACTCCTGCCTTGAATTCAGAACATTAAAAAGAAAAGAAAAGAACCAGATCTGCAGGCTCCTTTCATTAATTCTAGATAGAATACGGCCCTTCCCCATCCCAAAGGCAGCAAATATTTAGTCAAAGGCACAAACTCTGTGGCCAGATTGACAGAGGCCTCAACTGCCATCCACTAGTCTTGTGACAGTGGGCAAGTTGTTGAATCTCTCTGCACTTCGGCTTCCTCTGTAACAGGAGGGAAATAGCAGCACACAGAACCATTTGGGCAGGTAGTGCTGAGAATGGCTCATTGCAAATTCGATCCAGTAATATATCTGCATTTGATAAGATCACAGCTCTGTCTGAGTTCATTTTCCAGCCCTGAGATTCAGGAGCCCCCTCACGGATCCCAGTCTGTGGCCCTCTACTTCTTTGGGGCCCAGAAAAGGGGACAGAGCAGTACCTTGTCCAGGCCACCCCCTTGAACTTGAACACAGTGGTAATAATCCACAGCACCCAGGTTGGAATGGAATCCTTCAGTGCCAGTGCTCTTGTTGACTGTGTGTGTTCAAAGGAGCAAGGGACTTCCCCAAGACTGCTCAGCAAGTTAGACCAGAGCCAGGATATTCAGCCAAGTCCTTGGATTTTCCAGGACTAGAAATTGCCTGTGGATCACCGCATTGCCATTCCAAGAGAATAGCGGGGCAAGAAGAGTGATAAGTGTCTTCATATGGATCAGAACAGTCCTGGGACCAAGTCGCTCACCTTCTTTATTTTACCCCGTAAGACCGCCTTCGGAAAGCATAGCCGTTAACGTTCCTGTCTCCTGCATTGTCCTTGCTGAAGAAGGGGGAGCCATACCAACATTGTTGAGCACCCCAGAAGGAGAGCTTTGAAACTACTTACCCAATTCTTTCCCCCAAAGAACCTGGTGTCCTTAGGGGAACAGTGGGAAACCAGCCACAGAGAATGTCCTCCGTGAGGCGGAGGAGGGGCTCTATTCTTGGCTTTCACCTGGAAAGGATCATTTGTCCCGAACTGGGAACTGGACGCGGTTCCGGCTGCAAGCGGCCACCAGGAGGTACGGCTGTCCTAGGGTGACTCCCGGACTCCGCACCTGACACCGGCCCTGCTTCGGAGGCCGGCGCCTGGGAGCCCTCGTGCGAGCTCAGGCACAGCAAGGCAGGCTCACCACTCTTCTTTTGGGAAGAAGTTGATATTTTAGAAGACACTGGCAAAGTCATCACAGGAAATCTGAACTTTGCAGAGAGAGTCCCCTAGGCCTCCATCTCATGAATGACGGCTGTTTTGCATTTGAATGACCTGGGATGGGGTCTTCTCAGGCTCTCAGTTACTTGCTAGTTACATGGTCTTGCCAGGTTGCTTGAAGTCTCAATGTCCCCTGTAAAGCGGTGACAGCGACTCCCACCGGGCAGCGCTGTCCGCAGTACGAAAGTGACATATCGGTGACGCCCTGACACGTGGTAGACACCGAGTAAGTGGTGGGCATTATTATTTAAGGACGGTCAATATCGTCACACGATCTTGTTACAGTACAGTCCATGTGTATTATTTTGCTAGGTCTTGTTATGTATGTTTCAGACCTGAAATACATCAACTTCAGCAAAATCATTTCCTATTCGTAAAGGTGCCACATTATTCAGGACAGGGCAGAGAGAGAACAAGCAAGATGGAAAAGATCTCGAACTGAGGCTGGAGGCCAGAAGCAGAAGGTACTGTAGAAAAGAACCCTCCTAGGCACCATCTATCTCTGTTCCATCATCCAGAATTTAATTGTATCAAACAAAACTCCGAAGATGCAGGAAAATATGGAACGCTTCACGAATTTGCGTGTCATCCTTGCGCAGGGGCCATGCTAATCTTCTCTGTATCGTTCCAATTTTAGTATATGTGCCGCCGAAGCAAGCACGATCTTATGCCTTTCTCAGGGAGTACATAAAGCCAAAAATATAAAAACTTTAACAGTTATGGTGGGCAGATTTTCAGCACTCTTCTAATTCCAAACTACTCTGGAATTATGACTTTTCTGTATCGCA